GTAGATGCGTCTTAGATAACGCTGATTTCAAATCGTGAAATTAATGTCTACCGGCCTAAGAATGAAAAGTCCTACTAAAGAAAATATTTCTTTGACGAAGATCGAACTTCTACCGCGTTTTTTTTCCCCCAATCAGGGAAATCACATTTAATATATTTGTACCTTACAGATTAGGCCACGGAAAAGCCATATCTGTCACTACATCTCGATGTAGGTTCAAATCTACATTACTTAGACACCTATATATTTACTAAGTTTATATATATATATATATATATATATATATATATATAATTCAGTACATATATATGTGTGTATGTGTGTGTGTGGGAGAGAGAGAGAGATAGAGTCTTTTCGTGCGTATAAGTAGCAATTTTTAATTAATGAAACCTCGAAAAAAGGTAAAATCAAATTAGATCAACCCTAAACCTTAGGGGTAATAATAGAAATCATCGAGTTAACTATGGCAAGGAAAAACGGCCAAGATTTACTAACCGTCCCTTTTAGAACCGTTCATTACAGTTTTATTAACACCAGCAATATTATTTATTTAGAATTATTTATTCGAAAATTATAACATAAACATATTATAAAATCACTCCCAAAATAGCCATTTTGTTTCAAAACCTCTGCTGTCTTATCAAGTGATGATGTTGAATGTAGACTAAAAGGTTTTAAAAGGTTCAAATCAATTAACCAACCCTCAATAAGGGAAACGCTGTTACATAAGCTGCAATGACCAATCAAAATACAAGGATATGAGAATTCAAAAAACTTGACAACCAACCTTAGTTGTAATAATTAATGCTTTAATGTTAGGGTTAGACTAAAATATAATTTATTCTAACTAATATCAGATTATACTATAAAATTCAAAATTACCAATTTTAAATTTAATCGATATTAAGTTTAAAATTATAAAATTATTTAAAGAAGAAACTGAGGAAAAATACGTATATTTTGTTTTTATTGAAATTAATTCGTAGATTGTTTGAAAATTTAGATATTTATCAAACCTTAACCTCCCAAATATGCACGTTAAAGTAACGCGAACTGACAGCGTCTAAGAATTTGAATGAAACCTGTCGTGTAATTGATTGGGGTTGTTGTAACGTCTTCCTTTTATGTAGTTCTTATCGCTCACCCCTTAACCACCTTTATCTAGAGACGAGACGTGTTAAATTTGAGCAACATCCAAACGACACACTGGGGTTAAAATAGGAAACTAAAATGATACATATGACACACTCATATCCTCTCTCCCACCTCACTTCCTCACTTCGTTAACTTTACGTATACTTGATGAGATCCGTAAAAAACGTGTGAATTTCTTTTCATTTTTCATTTCAGCTTTTGGAAGTAAAGTCTGATGATCCAAACCCTTGTAAAAGGGGTTATGGTGAAATACCTTATTACATGGAATCTTAACGTGGTCTGTCTTTTATTCAAATATATATATATATATATATATATATATATATATATATATATAGTGCTGGGGCTAATAAAACGGTGCTCGATGTATTAAAAACTGTAATGTGCTCGACTGATTGAGTTATTTTATCGAGAGCAAACATCGTCATACACAGACACAATGTTTCACTGTATCACAGGTCATCAATGGGGTTATACATATATATATTATGAAATCGACTAAGTCCGACAATTATTTTAATATATTTATTGTTTATACATTATTTTTATAGAATCAAATATTCAGACCGGTAAAAGTTGTTCATACTGTTTACTATAAACAGAGCATTTACTCAAATATTTGTATTTATAAAGATAACGTATAAACAATAAATATATTAGAATAATATATATATATATATATATATATAAATTAGTTAAATTTTCCTTGTCTTTCATATTTGACGAAACATGTATAAAAGAATGGTTGCTGCCATGTATATATATATATATATATATATATATATACAATAATATATATATATATATATATATATATATAAATAAAATAATTATATGTATATATATATATATATATATAATTATTTTTTTTATAAAAAATTATAACATAATTATGTTATAAAATCACTACAAAAATAGCTATTTTGTTTCAACACACTCTGTGTCTTATCAAGTGATGATGTTGAAAATAAAATAAATGGTTTTAAAAGTTTCAGATTAATTAACGATCCTACACTAGGGGGAAACATTGTTACAAAAGCTAGAATAACAAATCAAAACAAAGTATAGATTGGTTACTCTACTTTGTATTGAGCACACTTTTAAGAATAGTAATTGTTGGTTATTGGAATTCATTCCGTATATACCAATTATATACTTAGGTATATATATATATATATATATATATATATATATATATATATATATATATATATATATATATAACGTCAAATATGAAAGACAAGGAAAATTTAACTAATTTTGTATTTAGGCATTCTTCCATTTGGTAGGAGTGCAATAATTATCCATTGTCCGAAGCGCTTTCGGCCTGTTATCTAACCATTTT